CTTACAGCACAGTATATGCATATATGTATATATATATATATATGATATACATATATTGCATAACAATCATATACTACAACTTATTCAGTCATTCCCCAACTGATAGGTATCCCTTCGATTTCCATTTCTTTGCCATCACAAAGAAATCTGCTACAAATACTTTATAACCTATAGGTTCTTTTCCTTTTTCCCTGATAACAGACATAATAATGGTATTGCTGGGTCAAAAGGTATACACAGTTTTATAACTCTTTGGGCATAATTCAAAATTGCTCCCCAAAATGACTGGATCAGTTCACAATTACACCAACAGTGTATTAGTGTCCCAATTTTTCAACATCCCTTCCAACATTTGTCATTTTCCCCTTCTATTATTTTAGCCAATCTGACAGGTGTGAGATGGTACCTCAAAGTTGTTATAATTTACATTTCTCTAATAAATACTGATTTAGAGCATTTTTCATATGCCTGTATCTAGTTTTGATTTCTTTCTCCAAAAACTTTCTGTTTTGACCATATAGCAATTAGAGAATAACTCATTCTTATAAATTGGACTCAGTTCTCTATATATTTGAGATATGAGGCCTTTATCTAAGAAACTGTATAATTTTACCCCAATTTTCTGCTTTCCTTATAACCTTGGCTACATTGGTTTTATATGTACAAAAACTTATTAAATTTTAATGTAGTCAGAATCATCTATTTTATATCCCACAATGCTTTCTATCTGTTGTTTATTCATAAATTCTTCTCCTAGCCATAAATCTGATAGGTAATATGTTCCATGCTCTCCTAATTTACTTGTATCTCCATTTATGTCTAGGTCCTGTATCCATTTTGACCGTATCTTAGTAAATGGTATAAGATATTATTTATACCTAATTTTTGCCAGACTGCTTCCCAGTTTTCTCAGCAATTTTTTACCAAATAGTGAGTTTTTATCCCAAAAGCTTAGATATTTACATTATCAAACACAAATTATCAAACACAAGGTTACTTTAATAATTTATTACTGTGTATTGTATATCTACTCTATTCCATTGATCCACCATTCTACTTCTTAGCCAGTACCATATAGTTTTGATAATTAGAACCTTATAATACAGTTTAAGATCTGGTACTGCAAGATCTCCTTCCTTATTATATTCCTGAAAAAAATTTTTTTATTAATTCCTTTGATATTCTTGCCCTTTTGTTCTTCCAAATGAATTTTATTATTTTTTCTAACTCAATAAAATATTTTTTGGTAGTTAAATTGGACCGGTGCTAAATAAGTTGATTACTTCATGGAGAATCATCATTTTTATTACATTGGCTTGACTCACCTGTGAACAATTAATATTTCTCCAATCATTTAACTCTAACTTTATTTGTATAAAAAGTGCTTTATAATTATGTTCATATAGTTCCTGGGTTTGTCTTGGCAGGTATACTCCCAGGTATTTTTATGCTGTCTATGGTTATTTTAAATGGGATATCTCTTACCACTTCATGCAGGGCTTTGTTGGGGTGATATATATATATATATATATATATATACACACACACACACACACACACACACACACACACACACACATGCACACACATATATACACACACATATATGTGTGTGTGTGTGTGTGTGTATATATATATATATATATATATATATATATATATATATATATATATATATATATATATATATAATATTAATATATATATATATATATATATATATATATAAAATGCTGATATGATTTTGTGGGTTCATGTTATATTAGCATTGATAATTTTACCATCCAAAGGGCAATCAGGATGGTGAAGGGCCTCATAGTCATGCCAGATGAAGGTAGGTTGAAGGCACTGGGGATATTTAGCCTGGACAAGAAAAGATTTTGGGGAAACAAGATAGCTGATGTATGGGCTATCACATGAAAGAGGGATTCTGCTTGCTCCTAGAAGACCCAAATATGAGCAAATGGAAACTGCAGAAAGCTGATTTCATCTTGATTAAAGATCAACTAACAATTAAAGCTAGCCAAATGTGGAATGGGCTGTCTCTAGAGGTAGTGAAGGTCTCTACCTTCAGTAGAGGTCTTCAAGCAAAGGCTGAAAGATCAATTTGTCAAGTATGTTATGAAAGGGACTCTTGTTCAAAATGGACTTAATAGTTGCTGAGGCTCCTTTCAACCTGGGTTCTGTAAACCATACCGTTCTGCATACAGGGAAACCTTAATTAACCTGTGTTTTAAGAGAAAAATGGGGACATTAAATTTTTAGCTGAAAGGCCAAACACAAAGAAACAAATTGTAGCAAGGACTTACTTTTAAAAGCAACTTCTAAAGAATGTCTGGATCTTGGGACATGAACTGAGATTTCAATCTGTGCCATCTACAATGCTATATACTTAGGATTCAATATCTCAGAAGATTAGACTATAACTGTTGTGGGTACTTTCTACTAAAGTAGATTACAACTCCTTCATAGCTTAGTAAACAGTGTCATGAGTTGCTGTGCTTAAAAAAAAAATTAACCATCAATTGATGGGCAACTTTTTGGTGATCAGTTACTTTGATCTTGGCTAGGCTGGTCCTCTGAGGTAAACAAATATTTCACAGACTACCTGAAACCTTTCCAGGTTGGCAGGACCCACCAGAGCTACATTCTTAATGCAGAGACTTTTAAGAACCTAAGTTTACCTCCACATTATAAGGATGAATCCAAGGTAGGTCTTTGCAGGAGGCCCAATACTTTCCACTTCGTTTACTTTTTAAAATGCTTTACAGCTTGGTCTCATTATCTTTCCAACTTCATTATAATTGCAATCTTTCTTGACCTCTATGGGCCAGACTGGCCTTTTTCTCTGCATATGGTGATCCATCTCCCATATCCATGCCTTTCCACTGGTCATTCCTCATACCTGAAATGTACTCCCTTTATCCGCACCTCTATCTTGTAGAATCCCTCACTTATTTCAAGATGCAGCTCAAGTACCACTTTCTATATGAAGCTTTCCTGATCCTCCTTCAATTGTTAGAGCCCTTTCTCCCTAAGTTTTGTTGTTATCCAGTCATTTTTTTAGCCATGCCTGACTCTTTGTGACCTCATTTGGGATTTTCTTGGCAAAGATACTAGATCAATTTGCCATTTCCTTCTCTAGCTCATTTTACAAATGAGGAAAAACTAAGGCAAACAGGATTAAGTGACTTGCCCAGGATCAACACAGCTAGCAAGCATCTGAGGTCACATTTGAACTCAGGTCTTCCTGACTCTAGGGCCAGAATTCTCTCTACTGCATCACCTGGCTGCTCCTTCTCTCTAACTACCTTGTATTTATTCTGTAGATTCTTAGTCAGTTTATAATTATGCATGTAAATGTTGCCTGCCCTGATAGAATATAAACTGTTTGGGAGCAGAAATTGTTTAATTTGCTGTTTTTATATCCCTAGCACTTAGCACAGAGCCTGGCAAATAGTAGTCACTTAATAAGTGCCTCACTATTATCATAACATTCAAAATGATTCAGATACTTCAAGATGCTAAAATAAAAAAATTCAATTATGTTCATGATATTCTACTATAAGGCAAGAACAGATGATTTTACAATAAGGGTAGAAGATAAAAATAGCGTTCTGGTCAAATCTAAATTAACCTGAAAATTAGATTAGCCAGAAGACCTCAATTGTCTGGGCATCTGTGCTCAGGGAATTTTTGTTGTGTGTCCAAAAGCCAAGGTTTAAGTGAACTAAGAAGGTAAAAATATGAAGGGGAAAGTATAAAGTGAATAGATTAGGGAAAACCAGGAAATGATAGGATGGGAAATTTTCCCCCCAGGTTTTCATATATTCCCATTAAACTTCTAGTCACTTGGTTGGATAATACAGTCAGCCATTTGTTGACTATAAATAGGAGAAAACAAAACCTCTCTAAAAAAGCAAGCACTGATTATGCTTCTACGAAGAATACTCTAAATTTATTCAAAAGAAGACAGAAGTCTGATACCATTGTTGAAAACACAAACCATTACCACCACCAATAATAAATGAACCCCACCAGGATCCCAGTTTGAGGGCTTCAAACTAGTTTGCATAGACAAATAAATACCCACATTCTCTGTAGTATTACATGGATACAAGGTCTACTCTAGCCCTGCAAAATAATCTAATGTATGTTTTTAAGCAAATAAAGCAGACTCACTAGTCTATCAAGTGTTATTGGAAATACAGGGAAGAACAGACTCTACTCTTGCGGCCGTTTACAGTCTGAATAGGAGAAAACTATGTACTTAAAAACAAGAGAGACCACATCCAGCCACTGGAGTGTATTATACAACACTGAGAATAATCTATTTTAGGGACAGAAGCTGAAGTAATGGGAAAAGAGTATATAGGATTTGGAATCACACGATTTATGGATCTAGGCAAGACACTTAACCTACCTGAGGCTCAGTTTCCTCCACGGGGATCTACCACGAAGGGAAATTGGCCACTTTTAGCCCTGTCTCTCTATACAGGTGTGAGCAATCATCGTCACTACTAGTTTACAAATGGAATAGCTGGTGTGGATGGAAGGCTGCGCTTTCAAGAACGTAGAACGTCGGTGTTATAGAACCAAACTTATTAGTGCTGGAAGGGGCCTTGGAAACCATAGTCACAATTCCTTTCACTTTATAGATGGAACCACTGAGACCCAAAAAGACAAAGAGAGAGGCCCTAGAGTCACAGACTCTTTGAGGGACAAGAGCCCGAGAACTATGACTTCCAGTCCAAGGCTTTTTAATGAGTTGGAAGGGGGTGGGAGCTATGGAGTGGAGGGAGAGCAGTGACCTGTATCTTTGCCTGATGCTTCTAGGTGCGCCCCACGCGGAGGGACGCCTTGCAAACAGAAGGCACTTCATAAATGCTTGGGGAACTGAATTGATCTTTTTTTCTCTCATCTGATTATCGCCAGAGTAAGGTTGGGGGTGGGGTAAGAGGGGTGTAGAAAGCGATCCCAAGCTTCGGCTTCGCCCTTACCTTAGAAAGCACCGTCCTGGAAGCCCCGGAGCATCGAGGCCCGTACCTACAGCGAGGGAAGAGAAGGTTGGGGGATAAGCAGCAGAGTCAGACAAGAGAGAAGAGGGAGGGGAGAGGGGACCCCGGCTCCTCTTACCGGCTCATCGCCCCCTCTCCAGTCGCCGAAGTGCCGCCCACCCAAGAGGAGGAACGACCGACTGACCCACAAACAGTGTCCCCCGGCCCTCGGGGGGCTCGCTCCAGCCGCCCCGCTCCCTCAGCCCAGCTAGACAAACACTGAGCAGCCCCCTCCAAAGCTGCCCCGTCCCCTAGGCAACCGTCGCGTTCCAGCGGCGAGTCCCGCCCACAAGGGATGGCAGGGGGCGGGGCCAGGGGAGAACTCCAAGGGAAGGAGGGAGACACCCGAGGGGAGGAGGAGGGAGACGCCCGAGGGGACTGCGGGAGGAAATAGGGGGGAGAAGGGAGAGGGGAGAAATGGGCAAAACAAATGGGAGGAAGAGAGAAAAGGAGAAGGGAGGAAACACTAAGGGGCCACGAAGAAGAAACAGAGGCAAGAGATCAGGGGAGGAGGAAAAAAGAAACAGGGAAGAGAAGAAAAGATGGGGAGGGGGGGAAAAGAATAAGAAACTGGGCAGGGAAGGAGAAAACGGGGAGCAAAGAGGGGACAATAGAGCTTAAGCACTTAGGGGGGAGGAAATAGAAAGGAGGGGTAGAGAATAGAGGAAGGAGAGGAGGAAACAGGAGGAAAGAGGGAGGAGAAAAGAAGAGGGGAAGAAACGGCGCGGGGTGGAGGGAGAGAAGAATAAATAAGAGAGGAGGAGAACGAGAAAATGAGTGGAAAGCAGAATCGAAGGGATCACTGGGTCATAGATTTGCAGCGAAAGGCCTTGGAAAGCATCCACTCCAGTCCCTTCTTTATTTTAGCAATGAGGAAACAGACCTGGAGAAATGGGGTGACTGGTCCCAGGTCGTGCAGGTAGCAAAAGCAAGAGGCTGGATTCCAGCCCGGGTTATTTGGCTGCACATACCTGGGCTCTTTGAAACCAGGCTGCTCCGAAAGGAAGGAAAGCCTGGTAGATCTGGGAAGAGGGGCCTGGGCCGAAAGCAGAAGGGAAAAGAGAGAGAGGGGCACAGTGCCTGGCACATGGTAATAACCACTTAATAAATGTTTGTGACTGAGAGGATGTAGAGAAAGAAAGTTTTGCTGGGGCTCAAACATGTTCTGTTGACTGAAAAGAGGGGAGTCAGACTAACAAATATACAAATGACTAAAGGTTTAGCCTAAGTTGCAATGAGGGACAAAAAAAAATGAAAAAAAGAGTGAAGGGCATGTAGTAATTCATGCTCCCCATCCTCTTACATAAAGAAAGAAAGGTTGCAGAGTCTCCCATTTGCTGAACTTAGATTTTCTCCCAGTAAAGGTATGAAGCAGTTGTTCAGTCTAGTCCTACTCTTTGTGACCCCACTTGGAGTTTTCTTGGCAGAGATACCGGAGTGGTTTGCCATTTCCTTCTCCAGCCCATTTTATAGATGAGGAATTGAGGCAAACAGGGTTAAGTGACTTGCCCAAGTTCATACAACTAGTAAGTGCCTGAGGACAGATTTGAATTCAGGAAGATGAGTCTACCCACAGCTCCACCTCTCCACCTTGCCGCCCCAAGAGGTAGATAGGCCTGACATCAACGAGGTTAAGTGATTTGCCCATGATCACACTGTATTGTGTCTGAGCTGGACTTTTCAATGATCTCTGAGCTCCAGACTCACAGTTTCTTTACTCTTTCCATTTTAATAAGCTTCTTCCTAGACTTGCTTTTTGACCATAGAGTAAAAGCAAAGTCCCCAGAGGCTGCAAGAAAACATGCCTCTTAGAGGAATTTATAGGAATAAAACCACCAAACAGAAACAAAAACAAAAACAAAAACGAGGACATCAGAGGAAGAACATAGTTTTCTTGGGAATTCTAAAGCACAAAATAGCTCAAGGAGTCTTGAATTAGTGCTTTTAATACAGTGAATCATCATGTAGTCAAACTGCTTTGGCCAAGTTATCCAGGCCCTTGGGTTTTCTTTCTTTGGGGGCTTGCCTTTAACCCATTTGGCTGCTAATTAGTCACCACCAAGGGGTAGAGTAGGTGCAGAAAGAGGAAATGAGAATTTTTGGAGGTGAGGAGATTGCTTCCAACAGTGCTGTCAAACTCAAATAGAAGCCATAGATAAGGATCCCCCTGCGCTGCAAGTTGAATTAGAAACCACACGTTAACATTATCTGTATTCTATTCTATTTTTATTTATTTTGTTAGCAATTTCCCAATTACATTTTTTATCTGCTTCTTGGGAAGTGTGGACAGCAACGTGGCTCAACCTCAGCAACAAGACCCTTTTTAAGAGGTCTATAAGGTCAAAACTATTTTCATAATAATAATAAGACATAATTTGTAATAGGTAAATATTGATAGATATAACTCACATAAAGAAGTTCTTTTGGATGTCCTCAATAATTTTTAAGAGTGTAAAGTGGTCCTGAGACCAACAAGTCTGAGAACTGCTGACCTATAGAATTTTAATTATCCGTCATTTCCCCCCCCATTATTACAGAAAAGAAATTTGTACATTTCTAGGAAATAGACCCTAGGTATCTGAAACTTTACTGCATTTGAGAATTGTCTGCAAAGATTTATTGCTAGAATAGAAATCAGTGAGGCTGTTACTGAATTTGAATAAATAAAAAGTTTAAGTTTGAGCATTTTATTCCACCTTTTTTCAGAGCAACTGCCCCCACTCACATTTTCTTTATTCTTTCAGCTTCATCTTTCCTAGTGTTCAATTTAGATTTCTGGCTAGTAGGTTAAACATTGGGTGGAAGTGTTTCAAGCTCACAGTGGAGTTGCTAATAACTCACAGTTTGTTTGATAAGACAAAGGCAAATTACCACCCTCTCTCCCTCAAGTAGACTGTTTAAAAATGTACCTTGGTTAAACTAGGTTTTATCCTGCAAAATAAACCAAAAAGAATGTTTCATTGTGTTTGTTTGTCAGGTCAACAAGTCAAGGCAACAAGCTTTTATTGTTTACTATGTGGCAGGCATTGTGCTAAGCCCTGCCCTCAAGAAGTTCACAATCTAATGAGGGGAGATACCATGCAAAAAAACCATATACAAACAAGATAAATACTGGGTAAATTGGAGGCAATCTCAGAGGGGAGGTATTAGCATTTTGGGAGACGAGAAAAGGCTTTCTGAAGAAGGTGGGATTTTAGCTGAGATTGGAGGGAAGAGGGGCTGAGGGGAGCTAGGACACAGAAATGAAAAAGGAAGCATTCCTGGAATGGAGGCAGCCTGTGAAAATGCCCAGAGTGAAGAAATGGAGCATCTTGTGCAAAATGGCAACATCTGAAAACAATTTTTAAAATTAAGTTTTCATGACTTATAATTGCTATGTTACTAACTAATAGGAGAAATCCTTGACAAGTCTCTGTTTTCCTTGTTCTATCCAAGTAAGCTGTAAAAAAACAAAGGAAACTCCCCACTACCATCATGACCTCTAATTAAATAGCATATAGCAGTGGATCAAAACTGGTTTACAAAATGTTAGATGTAAAAATCTTACTTCCTGGTCTGTAAGGGAGGAACTAATGAATATTGATGACCCTAGGGAAAGGGGTACTTCCTAAGTAGTAAAGGTATTAGTAACTAATAATTATGCAAGAGTGAAAAGCACAATGTCTAGGCATTTCTTGTGCACTGACTGTGTGCCAGACCCTGTACTAAGTGCTGAGGACAAGCAAAACAGTCCCTGCCCTCATGGAGCCCATCATTTAATGGGGAAGACAACATGCAAGTCACTTAACCCTGTTTGCCTCAGTTGCCTCTTCTGTAAAATGAGCTAGAGAAGGAAATGGAAAACCACTCCAGCGTCTTTGGCAAGAAAATCCCAAATGGGGTCACAAAGAGTCAGGCATGACTGAACAACAACAACATGTGAACAATTCTGTACAAACAAGATATGTAGTCACAGAGGGAAAGTACGAGCATTGAGAGAGAACAGGATCTTGTAGAATGTAGGATTTTAGCTATGACTTGAAGGAAGCTACAGAGGTCAGGAAGCAGAGATGAGGAGGAAGAAATTTCAGGCATGGGGGACAGCCACTGAAGATGCCAAGTCAGGAGATAGAGTGTCTTGTGCAAAAAACTGCAAGGTCAGTGTCACTGGACCTGAGGGGCAACTAGGTGACACAGTGGCTAGAGTGCTCAACATGGAGTCAGGAAGACCTGAATTCAAATCCTTACTAATTGTATGACCTTGGTGAAGTCACTTAACCTTAGTTCCTCCATTTCCTCATTAATAAAATAGGTCGAATAATAGCACCTACCTCCCAGGATTGTTGTGAGGATAAAATGATGTAATATTTGTAGAATGTTTTGCAATCCTTAAAGCATTATACATGCTTCCTAGTAGTAGCAGTACTGAAAAGGTAGGAAGGGGCCAGGATTTTAAAAGCCAAACAGAGGGTGTTATATTTGACCCTGGAGATACTAGAGAGTACTGGAGTTTATTGAACAGGAGTTTATTGAATGGTCAGACCTGCACTTTAGAAAGATCAATTTGACAGCTAAGGGGAGGATGGACTGGAGTGAGGAGAGACTTAAGGCCGGAAGACCAATCAGCAGGCTATTTCCATAGTCCGGGTTCGAGCTGATAAGGGCCTGTACCAGGTGGTAGCAGTGTTAGAGGATAGACGATGTTAAGAAGGTAGAAGCACAGGAATTATTATCTCCATTTTACCTGTTTGAAAACTGATCAGATGAGGATGAGGAAACAGTCTCAGAGAGGTTAATGATTTGTCCAAAATACTTTGACCCCAGTCTGGGGAAGTCACATTTGTAGTTTTTTAAAAAATATTAATTTTTCTTCAGTTTTTAACTCATAAAATAGTACTCCAAATTCAGTGATTTCCACTAAAAATTCTGTCCGATCTGAGCACCAGTTGCCACTGTGGAAATATATTTTTTAAAAGTGTTTTTTAAACTGAAAATCTTGCGCTCTGCACTATTAAAGAACCCTTTCTTTAACTCCCAGTTTGAAGGGGGGTATTGGTGGAGAAAGCCTTTCATTAAGTGAATGGATTAAGCATAATAGCCAATCTTCATAGCCATGCAAGAATATAAGACAACTCCAAAAGACACAAGATGGAAATTGCTGTCTACATCCAGACAAAGAACTATGGAGTGTGAATGCAGACGGAAGCATGCTATTTGCTCTCCTTTTCTTCTGTTGTTTTGTTTTATTGCTTCATTCTTGTGGTTCCTCCCATTAGTTCTAATTGTTCTTTATGTCACAACTAATGGGAAAATATGCTTAACATGAATGTATAAGGAGAGCCTATATTAGATTGCGTGCCATCTTGGGGGGAAAGAAATGGGAGGGGGAGAAAATTTAA